TACGACTTACGAACTTGCGCCATTTCCGAGCCCCCATACAACATTACAAACAACTCTTGAGCGACCCTCGACAGCAGGATAGCCATGTCTGCGACCAAACGACCATCCACCCACGTCCTATCCACCATTATATCCCATTCCACCACCTTCCGACGACTCAGAACATCGCGAGTCCCTTACGAACACTCGGAAACGGCGCTATTTCAGAATTTCGACACCTCTGAGTGCAAGCTCAACGTCTGCGAATATCGGCAGTCTGGGAGCTCAGAAATGCCACGGAAGGACGAAAGAGGCTCGAGGAGCATGTGGAACGAGGCTGTGGACGCCGACGGGACGGACAACGTGACTGGCTTGGAAAAGGTATAAAAGGCGTTGGCCGAATCGAGGGTAGTCAGTGAATTACTTGTGGACTTTCGGATTCAGTTCCCAGTCAGCTACCACAAGGAGACAGTTCCAGTCGAGGACTCTAGTCCAACACTGAGTTCTTATCCTGACCTTGTACCTCTATCCCCCAATTACATCCTCGAGTTGACCACCAACATGCTTGTTCATCACCACCGCCAAGGGACATCATCTCAAGGATTTGCCTTTCATTTATACACCCGAGAATACTGACTACAGGTTACCGGACTCCGCCAACGTCCCTTCCGAGCACTCGTAAACCGCCTTCAGCCCGTCCCGAGCACTCGGGTCTCGCTCTAGACGCACACACACACACACACACCTTTGACCTTTGACCGACACACACACTCGGATCCAACAAGGCAAACCACCTACAGCCTTACGTTCTATTGGGAACCAACTTTAAAGAGCCCTAGAGGACGAACCAGCCACTTTGTGATCCCACATATTCGCCTAGTGGCACCGCGGTCCTTATCACAACGTCCAGTCACGCAGTCACACCTGGGCGGCCAGTGTGTGACCTGATGGGAATTTGACATGGTGTTTGGTTTATGCACATTGTAGGTGCCGTAGGCCGTTCTCTTCAGTCAGAAGAGAACGGTCTAGCGAGACTCTGAACTCTGACCTACAACACTCTCCAGAGCTACTAGTAGAGTGCGAGGAAAGGGGAAAAAAATGTGTGGTTGAGGGGCCACTGTGCTGCATGGCAATACGAGTCCTTGGGGTCAACAGCTGTCATGTGCAGACTTCTCTGCTAAGTAACTCAGTGAATAGATGATACCTTCGAGGATACCGATGTATGGAAACCCAAAGTCGGCATGAGATAAATTAAATAATCACTTTCTCCAGTTGAATTTGAAGCAGCAGGTAATTTTGTAGCAAACACTTGGTACACACCGTTTAACTGTTGAGGCTCACCTCCCATCGCTATCTCTTCTTTTCGTTCCTGTTTGCTTATTGCATAGTATTATTAATCACCGTAAACAGTTCACACCTCAGTTATGATCTATGTGCCTACAGTCTGCTGAGGTGTGAGTCTGTTCATGTAATACCTCTCTGACCGGTAGAACAGTTCCAGGTACATAATATAAGTATTACTGAACTCTGACCACATTCCAGTTGAACTCCCATTCGTTTAAGTGCCAGTCCAGTTTCACATTAACACCGTTCCTAGAATCTCAAGTCGAGGACTGTCCATCTGGGTGAAATCCATTGAAACAAATAGCCATAGGCTTTGGTTCGTTCCCAACTTTGAACCGGAGCTGTAATAAGATCCGAACGAATTTGACTCGTAGTGAAATGAACCGCTTACCTGACGTGGCGCGGGAGTCAAAGGGCTCGGACCGGAGACACAAAACTGAGGAGGGATCAAACGAGGAAAGTTATATCACAAGTGAAACCAGGAACATAGTGTCGGCCCAGTGAAGTAGTAGCATCTATTCTAGATTCCTGAGGAAATATGGAACAACAGCCATACCCAGGAAATTTCTGGAAAATGAGTTTGGAACACTCTCATTTGGCTCGAGGTGAGTGTTCTGCTCGCTAATTGTGGTACCCATCTGCTTCTTTACAACTGGCCTCAGTCTCACAAAGAGTCACAACTCGCCAAATTTGAACCGTGGGAATCCACCTGATGAAGGTCCAACTCTTGACTTCTCAAAACTCTAAAAATTGAAGACGGACCTCGTAGCTCTATAAGCTATGGAAGCCAAGCCAAGCCTCCATTTGACTCATGACTCAATGAGTTGATGGGCTGGAGAGTATCAAATAGAGACTAATACTGACACGACAGTCAGATGGCTGAATGAGACCGACTTGGATATCACTGTTAAATGAGACTGACCTGAATATAGCTTGACAGCGAGGATCATAAATAAACATAAAGGACGAGGAACCCAACATCACAAAGGTTACAAGGATTGTATCAGAATGGCACACGCATGAAGATTCCGAGTGATTTGAGTGAGCATGCTGAATATTTGAGGGATCAGCCGTGTTTGAACCCAGGGTCAAATTTCTGTGGTATTGCTCGGGTGAATTCTGTCCGACTAAAATTTTCGTTCGAACCGAACATTTGTGGTTAGTTCGGATGTGAGGTGGGCCACCTTTGTTTCAGCTACATTGTGGTGATAACTCCTAGTTGTTTCGATCAATGACTGGGCAGGTAGTACTGACCTGTTTACAACGGTCGCGGCACTTGGGCATCCGTAGAGTATCTACGTAGCATAGCTACCCGTTGTTTCAATTTGGGACCGCACAGACAATCCTCCTCCCCGGATTTATAATTTGAAGATCGACTACGCGGCTGGTTCTCCAAGTCACTCTGATCATGTGAAAAGTTCATTCTTGTCCTGAATGAACACTGATCCACGTCGGTTGTAGGGTTGGATGGGGGCAGATATCACTTCGCGTCGCTGCTGGTCAGGTGCCCAGGGGCGAAAAATTTAGAGAGAGGTTTTAGCCAAAGGGACATGCACAGACATGCACCAAAGGAGAGCAACAATTGAATAACCGGAGATGGTGAACCACGCGACGCTCGACTCAAAGTGATCTCCAATCATAAGTTGAATAAACCTCGTTAGAGATCATTAAGGTCTTCGGGAATTGGCAACAGGAAGTCGGAGAACCACGATCTTACCAGATATACAGTATCATGAAGACATACCCCACCACGGCCATGAATTTAAGAGCACCGTCACATTCGGCACTACATATTTCAACATCACCGGGATGCCCGAGTGGAAATCGGTCACCCGGACTCGGATATAATTCAAAGTGTTGTGAACAAATAGAATAAGGAACCAAGACACTTCTCTCACCATGCGGTGACTTGAACAAGCAAGGTACGAGCTTTGTGTCAAAGTGTCTGGCTGCGGGAGCCTACATTTGAGCCGCTGCATTTCAGTTTTCCCAATTAAAATTTAGGACTCGTAAAACGTAAAAAAAAAACGCAAAGAATATGAAACAATAGTGCAACAGGCGGGATTCGATCTTACGGCGATGTGGCTCCCCATCGCCAACCTTGAACAGAGTTAGGGACGTAAAACCACTAGACTAACAGAGCATAGAGCAGGAGCAGACAGATCAAAGCTGATATCAATGCTGAAAGGGAAACACAAAAATATCACAGAGGTTGTGCTGCAAGTTACAGCCAGTGTAAACTAAGTTGGGGAAAAGGAGATTAAAGAGTAATAGAGGTACGGAAAATCAAGCACAAAATTGGTAGAACAAACAGATGAAGGGAGGTTGAAAGGCAGCAAAGAAATTAAATGAGTTATAAAGGGCTATAATGAACAGGGGAGATTAAAAGTGGTAAAGGCCTAGAGTAAGCAGCAGAGCAAAGTAGACGATGAAGTGAGCAACAAAGTCATAGAATGGGAGGTCGAAAGGGTATAAATTTACTCTAAGCAAAGGTGTGGTTGTCGATACCATTGAGCAAATGACAGAGCAGCCAGTGGTGAATAAACTGGCGACAAGAACAAAGTTCTTCGGAGGTGTATGATGCCTGGGCAGCCCTCAAGAGGAACGAGGCTGGGATGCGACACTCGAGGAAGCAAGTGCGAAAAGACAGGGTTCCAGTTGCAATCAGTGAGGGAAGCAGAGAGTGAGGTCGTCTGCCACAGTAAATGGTGTCATTGTCGTCAACAAGCATGATCTGGACTTATGATCAGTGTGATAAAAAGGGCACAAAAGAGTGAAATACTTTGCAATGCTTCAGCAGGTAAGGAGTTCCAGAAATCACCCAAGTTAGCATTGGGTATATATATGCAGAATATTCTGAACTGAACTCAAGTCAGTTGGCGATCAGTGGCCGGTTTAGCCGAACCACGAGGTAACCCAATTTGGTAGCTGTGTCTCGCTAAAGAAACCACAGCCCGGTAAGCGAACCACCAGATCAATCATTCCCCGACCACCAGTCATATCAAGCGAACCAAAGGCTCGCAAGAGGTTCAGGTAGTGCCTACAAATACATGTTCGCCAAGTTCGGTACTTCGGGTACAAAGTTCCGACGACCTGTCATGTTCGCTTAGCCAGGTCAACTTCGAGGTAAAAGTTCCGAACTAAAGCTCGAATATTTGATGAAAAATAAGGTCATAATGGTGCCAGTCAAGGCTGAACTTGAGTGTCCATGCAAGTTCCCCTCCGAGCCAAAGTTAAATTCCAGCAAATTCCACCAGTCTCCGCGTCCTGCATGCTGGGTTGAATTAGTAATTAATTCCAACACTTCATCCTCCCTTACCTACTCATCCCATCCTCACAACTGCACAATCATGACCCAAAGCACAACGGTTAGTGTGCTTGCTTCAGTTAGTCAAAATGTTCTGTGATCTTAGGCAAGAGGTCCTCGTTCGATTCGGGGTTGGGTCATCTGAATTTTGCCGATTATGTCTTTTTTCGTGTCAACCTTCTTTCTAGATTCCCTTCTCTTTCGTGCTACCGTCGAGTACAGTACTCTTTCGCATGGCGCCAGCCAGTCAAGGCTGAGCTTTAGTGGACCTGCAAGTTCCACTAAAACCAGAATTACTATGTGCAACAAATTGAACACTTCCCCATCCCTTGTTTTTTCCCTGTATCGATCCTCACAATCATGCAATCACGACCCAATGGCACAACGATTAGTGTGCTTGCTTTCAATTGTAAGGAATGTCGTAGGATTTAGGCAAGAGGTCCCTGTTCGATTCGGGGTTGGGTCATTCCCTGATTTCCTCTTTTTTTTTCTTTCTCGCAATATTTTTTACCCTTCTCTCAATTTCCATTTGTGCTGACACTGGTTGAAAGATTCAAGTTTTTCAGTAGAATTTTTGGTGAAAAATGTTGTTTGTTTTTCAGACATTTTTCACTGGAAAAGTAACTGAAAAACTTAAAACATTTTCACCATTTCTTCAGCCCAAGGTGAGAAATTTGAAAAGGAGTTTGAAAGTGGTGAAAAAAGTTTAAATTTTTCACCACTATTTTCAGTGAAAAATGTCTGAAAAACAAACAACATTTTTCACCAAAAATTCTACTGAAAAACTTGAATTTCCCAACCAGTGTGAGCTTGAGTATAGTACTCTTTCGCATGGCTAACCAGTCAAGGCTAAGCTTGAGTGGACCTGCAAAACCAGAATTAATATCAGCAACAAATGTGGTTCAACAATTCCTCATCCGAGTCCCTTACCTACTCAGGTTGACCTTACAGCCATGCAATCATGACCCAATGGCACCATGGTTAATGTGCCTGCTTTCAGTTAGTGCTGCAATGATTCTAGGCAAGAGGTCCCTCGTTCGATTCGGGGTTGGGTCATTTTGAATCTGCGACCGGATTGTTTTTTTTCTTTCTCGCAATGTTTGTTACCCTTCTCTTAAGTGCCATTCGTGCTGAGCTTGAGTATAGTACTCTGTTGGATGGTGCTAGCTAGCCAAGGCTCGGCTTTCGTTTAGCGTCCATGCAAATTCCACTAAAACCAGAATTAATATCAGCAATAAATGTGGCTCAACAATTCCCATCCTTTGTCTTTTACTTACATCGACCCTGCACGCATGCAATCATGACCCAATAGCACACGGTTAGTGCACTTGCTTTCAGTTACGTGATAGAGTTTCAGGCAAGAGGTCCCCGTTCGATCCGGGGTTGGGTCATTTCTTGATCATGTCTTTTTTCATGTCAACTTTCTCCCAAATACCTTCTCCATCTTTTGTATTCAAGTCAAGATTGAGCTTTAATTTAGGTCCATGCTCGGAGCCAAAGTTACATTTCACCAAATTCCACCGGTCTCCGAGTCCTGTTTCAACACTTCCTCCTTCCACACCTACTCATCCTATCCCCGCAACTATGCAATCATGACCCAAAGCACAATGGTTAGTGCACTTGCTTTTGGTGAAACGGAAAACCAGAGAGTTAGGCAAGAGGTCCTCGTTTGATTCGGGGTTGGGTCATTTCATGATTTTTTTTTCCGTGAAAAACCTTTCCTCAAATATGTTCTCCCTCCTTTTTCTTCGACCGGAATCATGATTGAGCTTTAATTTGTGTCCATGCTCGGAGCCAAAGTTACATTCCCACCAGTCTCCGTGTTCTGCCAGTGCATGCTGGGTTGAATTAGTAATTAATTCCTCCTCCCTTACATACTCATCCTATTTTGATTTTTCCCCCCTCCAATTATGCATCAGGACCCAATGGCACAATGGTTAGTGCACTTGCTTTTAGTGACGCGAAAGACAAGAGAGTTTAGGCAAGAGGTCCCTGTTCGATTCGGGGTCGGGTCATTTGGTGATTGTCTTTTTCTATTGAACTCCAACCGAGAAAAAAAGGGGGGCAATGTAACTCGACCGGTTGAAGTTGTTTGGTGCAAGTTCAATTCTGCTCCCACTGGTTGAAAAATTCAAGTTTTTCAGTAGAATTTTTGGTGAAAAATGTTGTTTGTTTTTCAGACATTTTTCACTGGAAAAGTAACTGAAAAACTTACAGCCGTTTGCAAAATTGATGACAGTGAGCGTCTGAAACAAACAACTCACAACTTTTGATCCGGCCACTTTGCGGCGCCGTTTGCGCTCCTCTGAACGGTTTTGGGAGATTTTCGCTGGTACGGGGGTTGTTTTTTTAGGCCAAACTCTTGTTTTCCGAGCTCAGATCAGCCGAAATGATCAAATCCATGATCGGCTTGATTGACAGGTATGTAAGCCATGTACAAACAGGCCTAGCGCTTGGCTTCTAAGTTCTCCCTTTACCTTTCCTTCAGCCTCCAACCACGAACACCTCGACACGTTCCTAGATCACGCCTGGTCAGACTGTACAAACCCAAGTAAAACTGGCGGCCATGGTTCTCTTTGACTCTCCGCCATTCTTGAGAGTCCACGTTCTGGCGCACGAAGAAACTCTGGCGGGAAGACTGGGAGTGTGGAGAGGACTCCAGGACAGTACATCCTCCTGCTTTCCTTTGAATTTCCCTCATGCAGTGGCTTGTGTCATTTCCCACTTCTTCCTTCTTTTGCGGTTTATCCCCAATTTCTTAACCTTTGCACTTGGCTTCGCAAACTCGAGTAGCGCTGAACCTTCAGTTTAGATTGCCCTTGATTGAGAGGTATGCAAACCGTTCTCAGACCGAGCCCGAATCCAAACTGACAGAATTCCGAATCCCTATCACTTTTCCTTCGCTCCTTGAACCAAATCAGTAGGCTTCATTCAAACCCCCTGCGCATTGCTAACCAAAACTCAACAGGTGATTCGAGAACACAGATTTATTACGAAGAGGCCCAGGTGCGTAGCACGTGCACAGTTACGAGTACGGACTGGGAGGAGGAGGAGGGCATAGCGCGAGCAGGAGAGGAGAGGGTGCAATGCGGAGAGGAGAAAAGGTGTGGCGCGGCGCGGGCGCAGGAAACACAAACTCGGACTGTGCAAGAACAATGTTCGCACGCACGGCACCTGCACGCCGCACGCACGCGCTCGGCAGGTGCAAGTGGATCTCCGCTGAGTCCGGGCAGATGGCACCTTGTGCTGTGTCGCCTCGACTCGACGTCGCAGGCGCGGGTGCCTGTGAGGCGTGTACACGAGGCCAGGGGATGATGGGGGACAGTGGGAATGAGGGGCTGGGTGGGGGAGATGAAGGCTTGCCTTGACTCGATTCGATGGCGCAGCGCGGGCCCACCGTCGCTGTCTTTCCCGAGTTGACTTGACCTTTCTTGCAGCATCTCCACTTGCGATTTCGGGCACGCGGCTTTGCAACAATTGAGTTTGGTGCGTGCTCTCTTTTTATTCGTTCGGGACTCGCGGCTGATCATCCACACGCAGTGAACGAGCTGCAATGCGCAACACTTGAGGCAGAGGCAGTGCTGTGTTTTTCTGATCTTTTCTGACTCGCATGCTGATCGAACGTTGCAGACGAGAGCAGTGATGACAAGCACATCACGGCGGGGCAGCGTTTACATCGCCCCAGGCGCACGCGTTTGCGAGGTATGTCTCGTAATTTTGCTTGGTGAGTTCTCGTGCTGACGTGTATTGGGAAGGTTGGAGTGACGCCACAGTGCGAGTGGATTCAGGCGGACGCGGAGGAGATGGGGAATGCCGCTATCTTCATAGTGTATACTGCTTACATAGACACCACTACTGACTTGAAACTCCAGTGCATCATATTCTGCCATTGCTAACGAGATTACAGCTGAAATAAGGGTCAGTGTGAGTTTGACTGAGAATGGTGTGTGCACCGCCCAGTGTCTTGAGGCGGAGGGGCGACTCTCTGCTCAAAGGATTCAAGACAGCTTTACGCAAGAGAAAATAGGCAACGATATGCACCTCAGACCAGGCCTTCCCGCCACCTGAGTCCCAAGTCGATGAAGAACAGGAGGCGTGAGCTGAGCGTGCATCGAAATTGTCATGAAGTCTTGCGAGCGTGAGACCTGGTGCGTAGCATAGCATCCTATCAAAGGACCAAATAAGTGTGCTGAAATTCGTGGTCGCACTGGAAACTCGTGCTAAGGAAATAACGAGACCACGCCTCGAGAGTCGAAGGGAGTCTTGGGAAAGTCCGGTGCAGTCCAGTCAGGGGAGCAGGTGGCGCAGTCAGTCGAGGGCGAAGTGTTTAGTAGGCTGCAGATCCCTCTTTGACGTGCGACGCTGGGGGAGAAGGCAAGTGAAAGAGGGACGAAGTTAAGACAAAGCCTGTTTGCACCTGTGTTACACGACCGTGTGGGCGCCGATCAAGCGGATCATGAATTTGATCATTTCGGCTGATTTGAGCTCGGTAAACAAGGGTTTGGCTTAAAAGAATGACTTCTGGTCGGCCAAAAATCTCCCAAAACCACTCAGAGGAAGCCAAACGGCGCCGCAAAGTGGCGGGATCAAAACTTTGTAATTGTTTGTCGAAAGCCTCTACTGTCATCAATTTTGCAAACAGCTGTAAAACATTTTCGCCATTTCTTCAGCCCAAGGTGAAAAATTTGAAAAGAAGTTTGAAAGTGGTGAAAAAGTTTAAGAATTTCACCACTATTTTCAGTGAAAAATGTCTGAAAAACAACATTTTTCACCAAAAATTCTACTGAAAAATTCGTGCCTGCTTCGGGCTCGTCGTATTTGACAACGGATAGTATGTATTGAAGCCACAACTCTGCTTTAGTGTGGGGATGAACCGGTAAATTACTACGTGGCAGGGTTTTCGTGAGCAGACGAAGTCCAGCAACACAAAGCAGAGAAGGACGGGAAAGGTGAACAACAGGGATGGCGGGTGGGGCTTTGAATTTGCCGAAGATCTTTCTGTGTACGACGGAGGAGGACCAAGGAGACGAACGTGTCTTTGTTTGTAGTTGGTTGGCTGGCCCTCCGACACGAATCCAGTCGCTCGCAGTGTTCGTTCCTCACACGGCGATCACTCTCAATTCGTGCCTGCTTCGGGCTCGTCGTATTTGACAACGGATAGTATGTATTGAAGCCACAACTCTGCTTTAGTTTGGGGATGAACCGGTAAATTACTACGCGGCAGGGTTTTTGTGAGCAGATGAAGTCCACCCGAGCGCAGCAAGCCGCAGGCGCGTCGGAGGATGCGAACGACAACCCAAGGACCTGTGTCAAGCCTGCGGGTTCAGGAATTCGACGTATGGTGGTGCTATCCGGTGGAGGGAGCGCCAGTACCTCAGGAAGGCATCCGAAGACCAACGTCCCATTAGTTTGACGATGTCGGGTGGTACACCTGCGAGTAAAAGCTCTGTGGTGCCGCCGATGCGAAAACAATGGCCGGTGAGCCGTGGGAGGCCGAAGTTGGTCCAAATGTTGTTGCAACGGGCAAGGAACTTCCGTTTCGTGAGTGCCAGTATACCCCCGGAGCTCGCGCGATAGGAGAACAGTGGGTCCCCAGGGAGGAGTCGGCTCGCGCCGATGTGCTTGCGAAGTGCGTCGACAGGGTCGGCAGTGCCGTGTTGTCTGGAGAGGAAGACATCGTCGCCTTTCTTGCCCCTTGTTTTTTGTGTTTGGTAGGTGTAGAGTTCGGGAACCGCCTTTGGTGCACGACGGGCCAAGATGTGAGACAACTGGCACAACTTCGGGGTCAAAGGAGCGTTCCGTGGCAGAGAGCAACTCGCCCAAGCGGCATTGGCCCCAGAAGGCTACGACAGTGGTCGCGAAGACGCAGCAGTCGAACGGGCTCGTGAAGTCGAGGTTTTCCGCTAGGAAATGTATCATCTCGAGGGTAACGGGTGGGCGTGGGGGCAGAGCGTCTGGCGCGAGGTTCTCGACACCTTTCAGGACGTAGTTCAAACGAAGACCACCATTGTAGCGCCTGTTGTTCAGAATATGCCAGGCCCGGATGGCCGATAACTTGTTTTCGACGGTCGAGCAAGCGTGAGTGCCGGCGAACGAAGCCGCGAAGGCGCAGAGCAGGAACTCGGAGGCTGGTAGGCGAAGATGGTGAGGGATTTGCTCCGAGTCACAGAAGGAATGGAAGTGAGCGAGGTTGTTGTCGTACTTCTCGATGGTGGAACGTGCCCAAGCATTTTGGATCGCGATGTCAATCTTTGCCTGTGCCCCGAGGGAGATAGTTGGTAGCAGGTCTGGCACATTGAGAAACGAGGTTGGTAAGGAGCGCAGGAAGGTGAGCGCGTCAGCTTCAGTTGAGAGCATGAGGGGAGGTGAAACGGTTCCGGAGCGAAATGGC